GGGTCAGGGTCAGGGTCAGGTCAGGGTCAGGGTCAGGGTCAGGTGTCTGATCTTTCTTCTTGCTAGAAAGTGCAGAGACGTTCATTCTGTAATCAACATGACATACTGGACCGGGGTTAGGGTTCACCTTAACCGCCCACTAAGCTAATGCCCCCACACTGTGACGGCTGGGTTTAGTGGAGGGGAGGTGAAGGAGATCCTCCATACTGTAGTGGAACTGCTCCAGTACATCATCATGCAGCGAGGACCGTCTCCACAGTGCTGACCTGAGTGTGCGGGGGGGTCTCCGGGCCTGCAGCTGCACCCTACTCCACTGCATCTGGACTCTTTAATCATTTCACAACTCAGTTTCCACCAGCAGATGGCGCTCTGTGTACATCCCATCACTCACACCTACATCAGCAATAATAGAGTTCTGCAGGTCTACAGGAGCGCTCACGTCCAGCCGGAGAAGAGGAGCGACTGACACTCATGCTCAGCTTCAGTTCAGACACAGCACAGCACTTTATTCACATATTATATGTGTGTGTGTGTGTGTGTGTGTGTGTGTGTGTGTGTGTGTGTGTGTGTGTGTGTGTGTGTGTGTGTGTGTGTGTGTAATCAGGGAAATCAGGAACTGGCGCGTGTGTGTGGTGCATGATGAGAGTTGTAGTTCATTAGAGTGGCAGATGTGTAGTTCTCCAGTGATTTGCACAGGCTAGATCGCTGGTGATTGTGACAAAATCTAAGTAAGAAAACATTTTTTGCAGTGTATGCAAATAATATTCACCAGCCTATTGTGATCATCATTAATCTTGCCACCTTGTTTGGCACAAATATATAAATTGCAAGTAAATTCCCCCCTCAACTGGGTTTCAATGGTTTGGGTTTTCACCCAGTTCTGGAGATCCACTGATGTCTGCTGTTTGTGTTTTTTAGAGGTCAGTCCTCCGCAGAGGGTCTCAGTTAATTCTGTAGGTCTGGAGAACATGACTGTGTGCTGGAGCCCTTCACTTGATGAGGAAGTTGACCAATATTACATCCGACTCCGTC